GTTGATATGTATTTAAGTCTATTAAAATATTACATTTTTGGCTGGGTAAAAAATATATAGCAACTTGTACATATATTATTAATTATTAACTTTTAATGATAAAACAACAAAACATTTAAGTAAAAAAAAGTACAGCTGCAGATAATTGTTTGTCAATGAAAATAAGGAATAAATATTGAGGAATAAAACTTTTCCTTTCTGTCCTAAACAATATGCTGAAGACCCTTAAAAATATCTGTTACTGATATTAATATTTGCAATATTTTTTTGTAAATTAATGTCCAGAAACCTGTCCGTATACGTTCCCTGTTTTTTTTTTGTTTGTTTTTGTTTTATATTCTCACAATTTGTATTGGAAATGTCATTTCATTTTAAATTCTAAGTTGTCCTCTGTAAAAGATAAAAGTAGCTTAAACAACAAACTCCTTAGCTTCAGTTAACCAAAATATGTTTCTGTTTCCACCATATTCTCTTGCAGTAAACACTGACACTGGCTCATAAAAATAAGAAATAGTGTGTTGCTTTTTAGTTAAATAAGGAAGACATTTTTTTAGTTGAAATACGAGACAATTCTTTATTTTAAGGGATAGTTGGCAACCCTAACGAGCTTTCTGTACATCAGTGTTCAGTTACCTGTATTTTCAGTGTTGCAGGTGAAATCTTTGACTCCTTTAACTCTGATGGAGGCACAAGTTGGGGTTGTAACCCATGCAACAGCCTCTGACCTTGGATCAGCCTTTGTTGCCACTGCAATCCTGTACTTACAGGCAAACTGGAGTCCTTTAATGATGTGATGGGTGCCCTGCAGAAAGAGGAAATTAGGACAAGTTGAAGCTAAAACTGATGATAAAGACATATAGTACTATAGCTGCTGGCTGGACAAGCAGTATTTCTTGTTTGAATTGACTCATTCCAAGGCTTCCTAAAATATGTACGTTACCTCAAACCATTGTCTCAGCACCTGTCTAGCATAAGCACTTTTTAGCTCCTTGTTAAAATAAACACAGCTCTCTCTGGCAGCTCTAAAGTTGGCAGTTTGAAATGGCAAAAATAAATAAATAAATAAATAAAATTAAATAAAATTAAAAATGCTGTAACTGAGTCAAAAAAGCCTGAAATCACATTCTGTAAACTCTGTAAATTGCACACAGCACTTTTATATGACACGTCTTGGACAAAAGGTAGCCGCTGCTGAAAAATAAATTGTTGTTTTTTTTTACTTGAAAAAAATGCAACCAATAAATTTTATCCAAGCAATTTTATTGAAAGGCTCTACTTGGCTAGAGCTCAATTTTTTCTCTTTTTTCTTGAGTTGGCTGACTCTGCTGGCTTGTTTTGTTCAAATTCGGACAAAAACTATTTTACCAAAAGGGCACTTCAAGCTCTAGTAAGTCGTAAGTAAGTAAATGTGTAAGTACGTAAGTGTATAAGTACGTAAGTAAGTAAATGTGTAAGTACGTAAGTGCGTGTGTAAGTAAGTAAGTAGATGTGTAAGTAAGTGTGTGTGTAAGTAAGTAAGTAAGTAAGTAAGTGTGTAAGTAAGTAAATGTGTAAGTACGTAAGTGCGTGTGTAAGTAAGTAAGTAAGTAAGTGTGTAAGTAAGTAAGTGTGTAAGTAAGTAAGTAAGTAAGTGTGTAAGTAAGTAAGTGTGTAAGTAAGTAAGTAAGTAAGTGTGTAAGTAAGTAAGTAAGTAAGTGTGTAAGTAAGTAAGTAAGTAAGTGTGTAAGTAAGTAAGTGTGTAAG